CACATTCATTTCTAATAAGTATAGTAAATTACTTAATACAAGTATATTTCTGTTTCCAGTAGAAAGACTCATGTGAAAATCCAATATGTAAATTTTTACTTTATATCCTTTTAACACTAAAAGTCTGTTTTAAATTTTATTTCCCCTCCAACTCAGCAAGAGTGTATCGTCTGAATGACCGGTTTATAAAGCTCAACTCTGACAGGTCAACAGTGAACACAGAAGGAAGAGCATTTGTGCGTGCACGTATGTGTACACATAAGGAGGTATCAAAAAGTCTGTGGAAAAGTGGAATTAAAAGAGCATAGATTTTTTCCATGAACGTTTGGAAGCCCCATGAAGGTAGTGAGTTTGGATTGGTGTCTGTATATGTGTTGGGGTGGGGGGTGGGATTGGAGTGAGAAGAGAGAGGCGGTTAGAGAGGTTCTGATACAAACTTAGAAGGGCTTAGGGGTTGAGTGGCCCAGAAAGGGGCCCTGCTGGTGCTGTGGGACAGGCATTAACCGGTGATTCCCACCACTCCATGGGAAAACGATGAAGCCCTCTGCTCCGGTTACGACTGATCGTCCTGGAAACCTTCTATAGAGAATAATGAGTTAGAATGGGCTCAATGCAGTGAGCAAACATACAGTGGGCACCAGTTCAGTCTCAATCACTTAGGAACAAACAAGAGAGCGGACGTAGAATAAGAAGGGTGTGGAAGGGTCAGCTTCACTGGCCTGCAGCTTGTGCAACCACACAGGGCCACGCCCTCCGAATGGGGCTCGGTAAAATGTTCGAGAGTCATTATCTCAGAAGTTTAAAAAATAATTTTATCTTTGTACTTATGGTTTGCAAGTGAAGTCCAAGGGGACAATGGCACATGTCAAAGAGTAGAGGAGAGGGGTGAGATCTGCTTGTCCACCACCTTTCCTTGCCACCACCACCCCCTTTGCACTTAGCATTTGTGAATCCTCGGCACAGAAGGAAGCCCGGTGCCCCCATGTTTAAAGGGGTTGGCTGATAACTGGCTGGTCAGTGATTCAAACCCACGGGCTTCTTGGTGGGAGAAAGGTGTGGAAGTCAGCTTCCCTAAGGATTTATGGCCTTGGAAACCCTTAGGAGGAGTTCTACTGTGTCTTACAGGGTCACTATGAGTTGGAATCACAGACCCATAACACACAGGAGTTCAATTAGCCTCAAAGTCGCTGGCTTCCCTAGGGTGCTGGCAGAATATGTATGTATCACGGAGTGAAATAAAAAGTTGAGTCAGTTTGATGCAGTGTTTCTACCGGTCTAATGTATTTCTTACTAGAATATATGTATGAAGGGGCTTCAGAAAGTTTGTGGGAAACTTCCATTTCCTTTTAATTCCATTTTCCATGACCTTTTTGAAGCCCCTTATACGTGTTTGTATGAACTATGAAATAAGAACTTTTGAAACTTCAGTGATTTTGCATACGAGATGAATATGCTTTTATTTGCATTTAAAACTAGAATTGCAGCATACAAAGGTCAATGATAAAATTCATGCCTATTAACTTACTGTTCTTTACTTTAAATAGCAAATACAAAATCTAGGGTCCATAGAAATAAAACCTTTTCTTCTGCTTGTGAACAAGGAACTTTGCACTAAGTGTGTAGCACTGGTGGGGTGCTTCCTTGTTGGGCTGCTAACTGCCTGCAGGGCAGGAAGAACCCCCGTGGTTTCGCATATCTATAAATCATTACTGGAATGGAAAGTCTCATCTTTCTCCTTCAGAACGGCTGGTGGGTTTGAACTGCTGACTTTGAGGTCAGCAGACCAACCTATAATCCACTGTTCCACCATGGTTCTCTGGTACCTGACTCAAGCCATGATATTTTTTAATCGCCTCATATGGAACCTTCATCTATGCGTTTGAATTATATCATTGGTGAAGAATATTGAAAATACTGTGAACTGCCAGAAGAACAAGTTTGTCCTGAAGGAAGTACAACCAGGATGCTCCTTGGAAGGGAAGATGACAGCATGATTTCTCTTACAGAGTGTGGACAAGTCATTAGGGGATACCAGTCCCTGAAAGAGGTCATCGTGCTTGGTAGAGGGAAGCGGACAAAGAAGGCCCTCAATGAGATGGAAGGACACTGTGGCTGCAGCCCTGGGCTCAAACATAAGAACAATTGTGAGGGTGGCGCAGGACCCCTGCGTGCTCCTGTTGTCCTTAAAGGGACATGTGCATCAGCTCCAGCGGGCTCCCCACAGATCAGACTTGAGCCCTCGAGTTGTTGCCCATTGGGAGTCAAGTGGGATAAAGTGACCAGGTTACCCTGACGAC